ATGGTTGGTCACGTTATGTAGCACGCGTTGCATTGCGTGTTCAATGCTGCTTCGTTTACACGCATCGAGTAGCCACGTGTTGCATGTCAGCACGTTACACGCGTTGCAGATCTACACGATGCACTTTCACGCGTTGCATTTCCATGCAATGCACTTTTACGCGTTGCATCTCCACGCGCTGCAACTCCATGCGTTGCATAGTCACGCGTTGCATCTCCACGCGCTGCAACTCCATGCATTGCATTCTCACGCGTTGCATCTCCACGCGCTGCAACTCCATGCATTGCATTCTCACGCGTTGCATCTCCACGCGCTGCAACTCCATGCATTGCATTCTCACGCGTTGCATCTCCACGCGCTGCAACTCCATGCATTGCATTCTCACGCGTTGCATCTCCACGCGCTGCAACTCCATGCATTGCATTCTCACGCGTTGCATCTCCACGCGCTGCAACTCCATGCATTGCATTCTCACGCGTTGCATCTCCACGCGCTGCAACTCCATGCATTGCATTCTCACGCGTTGCATCTCCACGCGCTGCAACTCCATGCATTGCATTCTCACGCGTTGCATCTCCACGCGCTGCAACTCCATGCATTGCATTCTCACGCGTTGCATCTCCACGCGCTGCAACTCCATGCGTTGCATCTCCAACCGCGGCATCTCCATGCGTTGCATTCTCACGCCTTGCATCTCCACGCGCTGCATCTCCATGTGTTGCATTCTCACGCGTTGCATCTCCACGCGCTGCATCTCCATGTGTTGCATTCTCACGCGTTGCATCTCCAAGCGCTGCATTTCCACGCGTTGCATTCTCACGCGTTGCAATACTAGCGTTGCAGTACCACGCCTTCTACTTCTACGCAAAGTATTTCTACCCGTTGCATTTTCACGCGTTGCATTCCTGCGTGATACATCTCCATTCGTTGCATCCTCGCGCTGCACTTTTCCGCTGCACTTCCACTCGCTGCATTCCCATGCAATGCACTTTTACGCGTCGCATCTCCTCGCGCTGCATTCTCACCCGTTGCAATACCACGCGTTCTACTTCCACGCAAAGTATTTCTACGCATTGCACTTTCACGCGTTGCATTTGTACGCATAACACCTCCACGCATTGTCTCATCAAGCGTATCGCCATATAATGCATTTTTAAACATAGTCACGTGTAATGAAATTACGCTATGTACCATTACACGTTACATGTCATCTGCATACTAAAATGGTACCGCTAATAGAAATCTGTAGTAGAAATTCCTGTACACCCAGTTTACCAGGAAAACAAGGTAAAATAAAAACTGATAAAGTTGTGTACAAAAATCGTTATTACTTTGCGTAATCTATTTTTCCATTTAGCTACACAATGGCTTTGTTTTCGATTACGTTCAAGCGCTCCTCTTTCGAAGTAACGTGGCATGGATAAGTACTTGGATACTGTTAACTAGACAAAATTGTACGAGATAACGGAGGCCGACAGTTTTATTACCGTTGAAAAACATGAAGAGCGCTAACAATACGTTTTCGAAATGTTTAAAATAGAGGAGGAACGTGAGTATTGTGTTCAGAAATATCACTTGACACGCGCGTCCGATCCGTAACGCAGCAACTATTGAAAAATAATAATTGAAAAATTGTGATTCGTACCGGTCGTGCTATTCATACGCTCAGGCCAGAAAAACAAAGTATTGTTGTTTGCGAACAATTCTATTGATTAACGATCGTTATCGTTGAACGATCGGACCGAAAGAAATAATATTATGACATCCACTTTTTAGTCGGCCATCTCTAAATGGCAAAACATAGTTTTATCTCGTTTTTTACTACTAAAACTCTGTTTTAATCAATGTTGTGCTCTTGGAATTTTGTCCAATTTTACTGTCAAGTTTTTGAAACATTTTTAGGAATGCAAATATTTTTATTCGTTTCCTCGTTCTATTTCAACAGTACAATCTGCAATTTTGATGAACGAAAATTTGATGAAAGAAAAATGTTCTCATACTGGTTTCTTTAAGATGCAAGGATAAGTTCTTAAATAATTTCCAGTGTATTTTAAGATCGTAGATAAACAGAGCAAAAGTACGTGCTTAAAAGAGATATGATCAGAGGAGTATAAATGACATTAATAGCTTGTTCGTTTCATGTCGACACCGATTAAACATTTGTTCAGAAAAAGATATCGTTAAGAACGATCGAATAAGTAATCGCGAAAGCATCGGACCGTGCAAATTGCAGTCAACCACCGTGTTTGTTCATTATAAAGTAACTGGATATCGGTGTTTCTCGGTGACGGATCTTCCGTAACCCCGCTCATTACTTCGCGTAACTCGAAACTGCACTTTACGAACATACCCGTGCAACATGTAACACGGCTCGTCTCCACATATTTAAATCGGAAATTAGCAAACGCGACATTAATTATTACCATGTGAAAACGGCCACGGACGTCGATGGTGTGTCGGAAACACAACACGTGTTATCGACACCCGGCTGTGATTGCAAACGTTTATTACCAGAAGCGTGCGGAAAAATGCAGAGGAGTGTGCGAAAGTGGACATCACGCGTTGCACGCGAAACTCTTATGGGCAGAAATTGTTTGGAAATTTGGAACTTTGGGAATTTAAAGGTTTGCGAAAAGAGAATTTGGAAATTGGAGGCACGACTGGAAATTCGAGAATTGACTTACATTTTCCATAACGCTTCCGTCATTTTCTCGCTCCAAAAAGGGAAAATACGGCGAGTTTTTGTATCGTTTCGAATTTCAATGTACGTGTCTATTTTTCACAGACTGTCAAAAAATATTGGAACAAAAAATGGAAAGAATGTGTATCGAGTGATTTCGGTTGATGGAAAATAAAAACTGATACTGTACTCGCATTTTATTTTGTTACGCCGATTCATCGACGGATAAACAAATTTTTCCGTCTGATTGCTTGACGTGTTGGAAACGGATCAATAATTCGGGCCGAACTTTGTCAAATTATTCGATACGTCAATTACCGAGAAACGATGGACACCCGGGAAAAATGAACTTGTTTGCGAGCAAAATATCAATTAGAAACATTTTTATTCGAGTGTCCAAGTCGTGGAAATGGACGAGCCCGGTAATTAGTGAAAAATTCAGAATCGCGATCCATTGGGTTCGTTTAACGTCGACGCCATTCGAGAAATGGCCACGACAGTTTCCTGGCGCTCCTTGCTCGTTACAGTGCCACGGTTCCTACGCTTATTTCTATTTAAAAGCCGTTTCACGGCAGTTCCGGTGTGCAGCGTTCAAGATTACGAGCTGCAGAAGGAATCGCTAAGTCCGTTAGGCAATAACAACGAAAAACGAGCTAAAATAGATACACTACCGTCCATAAGTATCCGGACACTTGGTTTCGTTACATAAAACATAGTTGAACTTTGTACGAAAGGTATTTAGGGTTATCATATCATTTGTAATAATTATTATTATCTTCTTTGAGGTGTCATAACGTAATAGAATTAATTTTTAAGTACAAATCATACAATGAAAGTGTGAAAGTAAAATTCATGTCCAGAATTTTGTAGCTATAAATCACCTGTATTCAAGTGAATCATTCATTACAGATCATAGTCGAGAATCATCTGAACCGCTGATTTCATTAAGAATGTTTTGAATGTCTCGACTCGTGTTCCCCATACGTGGATGAACCACCAATCAGAAACGAATATCTTATTTCTGTATCATTCGATTGGAACGCATTTAGTTGATCATGGAAGATCAAGTAAATCGTTAGTCAAAGTTTTATTTTACGTTCAAAAACTGAACTGCTTTCGTTCCTATTTTCGTATCGCTATCGTCGCGATAAGACTGGCGATACATAAATTTTATGTATCGGCTTTAGTGACGCATAAAGTTCTTTCCATCATTTCACCTATATTCTTTTACATACAATATTTTAGACTTTGGACTATACATCACAGTACTAAACATACTTAAACGGATTAACACATTGATTTTTTTCTTTCAAAGATAACAAATTCCTTGTTTATTTTAAAACGAAAATAAATCACAGTAATGCAAATGTTATACAAATGGGGGAATTTTTTATTTGTGTGGATGGAGTATCAAAAAGGCAATTTGTATAGAAATAACTTTATTTAAAAACTGAAAAAGTTTGGTCGATATGTACATTTTTAACAAGTAACATCGTGCTGTCGGAAGTTAAACGTTTCAATAATTTATTCGAGACCTACTCTATTTTCAAAGTAGCGACTAGTGCGCTTATAGAACAAAGTAATGAGATTCGTATCCGGTTTGTCGTTCGAAACCTCGTTTCAGTTCATCGGCAATTCCATTTTTAATGGACTGTTTTTTAACGAAAACATTCGTTATCGGAATCGTTGAAAAATAAGCACTCTTCGAGTCCAAATTAATTTTACCCTTTTTGTAGCTATAAATCACCTGTATTCAAGTGAATCATTCATTACAGATCATAGTCGAGAATCATCTGAACCGCTGATTTCATTAAGAATGTTTTGAATGTCTCGACTCGTGTTCCCCATACGTGGATGAACCACCAATCAGAAACGAATATCTTATTTCTGTATCATTCGATTGGAACGCATTTAGTTGATCATGGAAGATCAAGTAAATCGTTAGTCAAAGTTTTATTTTACGTTCAAAAACTGAACTGCTTTCGTTCCTATTTTCGTATCGCTATCGTCGCGATAAGACTGGCGATACATAAATTTTATGTATCGGCTTTAGTGACGCATAAAGTTCTTTCCATCATTTCACCTATATTCTTTTACATACAATATTTTAGACTTTGGACTATACATCACAGTACTAAACATACTTAAACGGATTAACACATTGATTTTTTTCTTTCAAAGATAACAAATTCCTTGTTTATTTTAAAACGAAAATAAATCACAGTAATGCAAATGTTATACAAATGGGGGAATTTTTTATTTGTGTGGATGGAGTATCAAAAAGGCAATTTGTATAGAAATAACTTTATTTAAAAACTGAAAAAGTTTGGTCGATATGTACATTTTTAACAAGTAACATCGTGCTGTCGGAAGTTAAACGTTTCAATAATTTATTCGAGACCTACTCTATTTTCAAAGTAGCGACTAGTGCGCTTATAGAACAAAGTAATGAGATTCGTATCCGGTTTGTCGTTCGAAACCTCGTTTCAGTTCATCGGCAATTCCATTTTTAATGGACTGTTTTTTAACGAAAACATTCGTTATCGGAATCGTTGAAAAATAAGCACTCTTCGAGTCCAAATTAATTTTACCCTCAATTTTGTTTATCGTAAAAATAATTTATCTTAGAGATATGTCTTCGATTGTCGTTGAAAGCCAAGCACAGCATATCACCCGCAATTTTTGTTACACGATATTGTGAAAAAATATATGAAAAGATCACCGCGATTCATGAAATCAAATATAAAAATATATTTCTACTCTTATCGTGCAGTTCGGAACATTCGACGTTTGCCTAAAAAGTTCTACAAGCTACGCAACACGTAATATTTTGCGAACTACGTGCTATATCAGTCTTGATGTTCCAACGTGTTACCCGACACGTAATTCTGGGAACGTAGGAAATTTTGCAACGGACATTTTGACTTGCTGTACCAATCGGACAACGGGTTGTACATCCGTGGTTCCTGTTTCTCGTGCAGAAATTTGCACAAATTGCACTTTGCCTCGTGATCGCCTCCCTCGATCATGTAATATTTCTTCCATTCGAAGTACCTACCGTATTCGAAGGGATTCCTCATTAACTTCTTTAAATATTCAGCTAGATCCTTTGGCGTATCAAAGTCGAACACGTTTATGTAAGACCGAGGAGGTGCGAACTGGCTGTAGTTGGCACCTCCGTATACAATTGGCACCACGTTGTACCTGCGAACGAAAGAGAAGTCCATTTTTAAGTACGACTGCTGAAACTGAGAACCTTCGATGCTTGATCTGTTATATTGCAATCTTTACTGTAAAGTTCGACTTTCATAGCGAGAAATCTTACAGTTATATTATTACATGTTGTGCCTGATCGATTAGCACACGTTACATATCTTTCGAAAACGTGAGTAAAGTATCACGTGTTCGAAATAATACGTACTGAAAATATCTGGCGTTCAAGGTATTACGCATGCCACGTGTTCGAAATACCACGTATTCAGTTACCCTTTCATGGGTTACCTTGCATTTCAACTACCACAGGACCTAATTATTATAAATCCCAACTAATGCGGTTTAACTATCACGCATCCGAACTGTCACACACCCCAATCACAGCGCGTTCCAACTATCACAGCTCAATTAGCCACGCGTAGCAAATCTCACGCATACCAAACACCACACGTCTAAAATATCACGCGTCCCATGTATCAAGAGATCCAAACACCACCTGTCCTAACCATCACACGCTCCACGTGCGTTCGGAATACTAGTCCTTAATTGCCAACAAAATCGCAAAACGTTGTACGAAGTTGATCGCAAGAATCGAAGAGATGTACCAAGTTAAATTTTTAAAGCAACTCGTTAAATTTTTAACCGCTCGTTTAGACATATTACTTTTGCAACGTACGAAGATGAAGAGTTAATTAAAGATCGTACATCCTTCTGTTATTAAAATTTCAAGCAATCGATTGCATAAAAAATAAAATGACGACCGCAACTTTCCGAGTGGCAGAGTATCGTTACGCCATGTCAAAGCTCTGGTGTGCTTTTGATACATAACCAAAGTCATTTAAAACGCGCGTGTGCCTGTCGTTTCTAGTTAAAGGGTTAATAATCGCGGTAAGCTACCCCCGAACGAGCCAAACGCTTAAAATACAACGGAATGAAAAAAAACGCGAACAAAGCGAACGGAGGGAGGGGAAGAGTTGTCAGAGGGAATCGTTCGCAACACGAGCACGTGTCGGAACAATTCCAGAGGGTCGGCGTACGCGTTCAGGCCTCGTTTTCAATTCACGAAATGAGTCCGCCAGTCGGTTGTCATTCGAAATCGGTCTGGAAATTGTGCGCTGCGACTGACAATTTTATCGTTGAAATCGTACCCAACCTGGTCATTGTTTTTACCTGAGGGCATTGAACAGCTTCTCGGTTACGTAATCCTCGCAGAGAGAGTTCTCTAAAGACAGGTAGAAAAAGTAACCGGGTTCCGCGATCTCCGCGAAACAATCCGTGCTACGGGGACAATACATGTTGCCGCAATTCCCATAAATGTCCACGGGTATGTGTCTGGATAGCTCTCGCACGTACTCCTGCCGGCCACTCTTCGCCTCGCAGTTGCTCACGAACCACACTATCGGTCTTCTTTTCCCTCGAATCGAGTCTGACGACCACTTCTTCCAATCGGTTTCCTCTGTTTAGGAATCAAAACAATCAGGAATGTATATGCTGGGCCTAGATTCCTCTAACGTGTTCTTTGAATAAGTTGACGAGTTTTTAACGACCGGTTCGTGGAACTCATTTTTATAACTCATAATAGGGAAATATACAGGGTGCTCGAAAAAGAAAATTTTGTCATAGACTCTTTGAATATTCTCGGGCTAATGACCACAGTAGTCGATGCCCGCAACAAGAATCAATCAATCAATCAATCTTTGAATATTCACCATAGTCTGCGGTTTGAAATTGTTAACCCTTTGCACTCGAAGGTAATTTGACTGTTTGCAAACAGCATCTTTAAAACTTAGTTAAAAAGTCAAATGAATTTTTTTTGAGGTTATTATTTCTCTACTAATAATTTCCACTGTTGTTTGTTTCACTATGTTTCTGCATCACACGTGTCATATTATAGAATCAGTTAAAAAATGCTTATTACAAATTATTGTATTCAATAAAATGGTGACTGAGTCACCTCTCGAGCTCAAAGGGTTAAATTTATTTCAAATAGCAGTAGTAATTCTTTCTGTAAAGAAGTCTGAGTGTATAAATAAGTTAAGGGATTTAAATGTGAAACTATGTCAAAAAACATTTGACACTTATCTAATTATTAATGAACTAGACCATGTATTATAAGTTTGCATATTTAACGACTTCACTCTGTGACAAATCCAAAGAAATGTCTAGAGGTTTCAATTAAACTAAAATCTAGATTTCGAGTAATAAATCCGAAGCGATCGAAGCGTTCCGACGACAGGAGGACGTAACAGTCGTTGGAACAGATGGACGTGAAAATAGGTCGTTTGCAGAGACAGTTAATGAAGTTAATAAATTCATCAGCAGAGCTTTAATTACCGCATTTACATGAACGTTTCGCGCGTCGCTTGCGTAACCCGATTACGCAAAAAGACACCTTACCATCCTACGCGATATTTATTTTCTAGCATTCTCATTTTTTGGAAGAGGAAAAAACCGATAAAAAATTCCTACAGAAAAGTTTCGATGCGATGGCAATTTGCGAAATCAATGCGAACGTTTTTGCCTCGAGCTCGATAATTCCGTAGTAAATGCGATTAGTTAATGACTCCGATTGCACTCGTCGAAACATTCTGTATCCAATACCAATTACATATTTCTGTGATACAAATCGGATTACTCGAATCTCGAATTCTCCGATCCCGCAATACGATGTTTTGTCGCGTGCATTACCATCGTAAACAATTACAGGTGCACTGTATGTTGGAAACGAATAGCTACTGAAAAATTCACTTTGTCAAATTTTTAAATGACAGGTCAACGTTGTTAGCCGTAAAAGACATTCTAATTATGCCGATAGTTACGAGTGATAAATGGCCACGTATTATCGAAGCAACGTGTGGGCCATGTGACTATTGACCCGATAACTCGATGATTAAGCAAATAAGAAAGTTATTCGAATGACGAACTCCTAAAAACATGTCGACCCAATCTTCCCAATCAACGCAAGGTCGAGATGGAATGAATAAAAGAAAAAGTTCAAGGACCAGTAGAGTTGTAAAATTGTCGAATAGTAGCGAATCACCGAGTCTCGACAAATCTAAGAATCAGGAGAAGAACGTAAGAATTAAAGATTAATGAAATAGATAAATCGATGGATTCGAAGGATATGGAATCGTAAAATCGAGGAATTGCTGAATAGGGGAATAAAAAGATCAAAGTTGAAAGAATCGAAGAATTATGTACTCGGTTGGCTTAAAGATCTCTCATCTTCTAAAGAATTACGTTCTCTTTCTGCGGAGTAAGAACCGCTTACGAAACGTGTTCGGCGTACCGTTCAATATCCCAAAGATCTTGTACAACTTGTTAAATCGTGATTACGGTGAAATCATATCCCATTCAGAAACGAATTTTTATCATTTTTCCTTCTCTCGTCTTTAGACGCCGTGGTTATAAAACCAATTCTTCTTTTATAAAATATTGAAATTAGAACGTAATTGATTATAATTATAGCCCTATTGTTGCTCATAACATTGCAATAAAATCTTAGCAATGAATAAATCTGTACACTTTATATAAGCTTACCTGACCGATTGTAAAACGCTTTCCAGCTAACGTCTCGACTAGGAGCAACAAATTGTTTAGTGTTCAAATCCCTGACGATCCCGTAGTACCACGCGACATCACTGTCCAACCTGTACGTCATCGTGAGATTAAAGAAATCCTCTAAAAAATTGCTAACCAGTGGCCTGTTGGTCGGGCTCTCCAAATTCACGAAAACGTAATACTGCTTCGAGCTTCTCTTCGCCGGCAGATCGGCTAAATCAAAGTCATTGTTATGAAATAGAACGGCGTCGAAGTCTGTCAGATTCGCGTAACTCCTGTCGTAAGTAGCGTAACAATCGTTCACCGGACAATCGCGAAAAATATCGTCTTCACCCGTGTAGAACATTTTCTTTCCGAACATCGTGTTCCAAAATAAAATCTTCTTGGTGGTGTTGACGACGCGCGAGTCGTCCGCCATTATCCTTCGAAGACGCAGGATGTCGTAGATCCGACAATTGAAGTAGAAGGACAGGAAGTACAGGGAGAAGATGAAAGTCAAGAGAACGATCAGACTGGATTTGCCGAGGATCCATGATTTCATGTCGATCCTCTTTGACCTTTCGCGATCCCCCGTTGAGATTTTACTCCGACCCGCTGTAACCAATATGGATTTCCTTGAGAAGACGGTGAAATTTAGTCAAACTCTTAATATTTCAATTGTCTTTATACGATTTTCATGCATATTAGCGTGTCATTGTAAGACAACTGCATTCACCGCAATATCAACGTGGAAAACTTTTTGATCAACTTGAAACGCGTTGCCACGTGCTGTACGACCACACGCGGTATATGGCGACGCGTTATGTCACGTGTTTATGGCAACCTGCTAAAAGGTTAGTTTCCAAATTCTTGCATACTCAATTAGGTCTCGGGATTTCGATATCTTTGAACCGTTCAATTTCAGAATTCCTCGAATCGTTATTCACCTTCGTGAAAATTGAACGCACTTTTTAGCAGTCACGACGGAAGTGACCTTCGTTTTCGAACGTTCGTCGGCAACTGCCGGATAGCGAATGTATCCCCTCGTGAAACCCCTCGTTGACTCACTGTTTAACCCTATGAAGGGTGTGACCCAAGTTTTATGCGCAGGCACGCTGCGACATTCCATAAATAACATAACGATAAGTAAATAATAGTACATGCATTATAACCGTAATGAAACATGATCGATAACATTGCCAGAAGCAATAAAGATATTAAATCATTAAACACACGTAATTATTTGAATCCCACAGAATTTTAATAAAAAATTGCAGATGCAATTCTACCGTGTAATGACATATTTTACAAAATTACAACACAATATTTGTATAGCGATACAACCGGTGGCGACACAAAACTTGGTCAAACAACGCGTAGCGACAGATTCACCGGAGAATTCCGATTGCTCTCGTCGATCAAATATGAACAGCTTTCACCTTTGATATTGCGGCTATCTTCATGGATCCACGTGTCCTGCTTGAAAATACCTTTTAGTACAAAACCTGGATAACAGTTGACGAATTTACAAAGCCACGTAACAAATACTCTTTTGATGGATATATTTCTGAGAAACATTTTACATTTAGAAAATGATATCGCCTAGCAACGTTAAAAATATGAGTCAACGATATAACGAACTGAATTTGACTGTGGTCATAAAGCTGTCTACAAAACAATAGAGCACACAACAATTGATTCGTATCAAATGGATACGTTTATAGACGATCAATATTTGATTTCACTAAATTATTTAATGCTCCATATATACGAGTTCTATATGAGTTTTCTAGGAACAGACGTTTCTAGAAAATCCGACCGAAAGGTTTGTCGAAATGTTTTTCGAAAGGTTTTTCTCTTACTCATTCAATTACAAAATTAATATATGAAGTTTTAAATGGTACACAAATAAACACCACGAATAAAAAATTTGAATATGCAGTGATTCACCTTGATTACGTCACGCGTAAGATCCAAATGTGCGACACAGGTATTCGATGCAAGAGTTAGTCGAGACCCAATCGCGGATAACTTTCAGAGAAGTCGTCTCGTAAATTTTTGTATCCATGCTCGCCGTCCTTGGTTTCGCGCGCGTTTCCTTTTGTTCTTCCACAATATTCTCGTTTTTCGTGTGTGCACGACTCTTCGTCGTGAGTTCCAGCCGATGCAACAAGGACAGATTAGTGAAATAAAAACCGAAATTAGTCACCGATATACGTCACAAAACTAGGGAGTCGCGTGCCGCTATGACCGTCAGACACAACAGTTACAACTCGACTGAACGAACGCAACCTGTACACGCCATTATCTCTACTAGGACGGAAGATGCAATATCTGGTAGGGGGAATTTCTTTCAATCGCTCATTCGATACTTTGAATAATTTTTTTTATGTTAATTGACACGCTTGTCTGTAATTTTAATCGGTGACTGACACTCTATGTGCGCTAGGATGTGTAGACATTTGTTACGTTCCTGTATAAATCCTTATACCAGGGGGGCCAACCTGCGGCTCTTCGAAGGATTATTTGTGGCGCTCGATAAATGTACCCAAGTTCCCTTTTCATTTCTGTGCTATTATATTTTAAAAAATTATTATCGTTCCGTATGTGTTTCAAAATGTCTTTGAAATTACTGACGAATATGAAAGACTAAGTGCAACGTTGCAACAAATTTCATTTCCGTCCAAGTTAAGAATGATATGACTCATCGAAAACTGCTCGCGAAACATTTCAAATTTTGAAAAATGGCTTGGTCTATCAAGAAGCTTGGCCACCCTTGCCTTATACCTTTATATGTCTATTATAGCCCTACAGCCTTGAAGTCATATACTGTTAGATTTCTACATAGCTCAATTTGCACATTCTCGGATGTCCATATTCCTATATTTCATTCTTACATCTCCGTTTGGTAATCAGGACAACAGCGAAATAGTCTCATGGTCATTTAATTTTATTCTACCACTCCCTAGTAGCTGGAAAAGAAAATGCGCACAACAGAGTCACGGTATGGTAGAGTTGAAACGCTTGGCAGATCGCGGAGGTCACTGCGAAATATATCTCGTCCTATTCACGCACCTGCTCGCACGCCATTTCTCTCGTATCGCGTAAAAACCGGCCATCTGATTCCTTGTTAGTTTGTAACTTCGAAAGAACGATCTTAACTACCGTGCGAAAGGAAATAATATACCCGCGTGAAGTAAAAAAAGCTGTCGCTCCAATTTGACTGTACCGAAAATAAAAATAATGGGAGGATCACGAGGCGCGATGAAAAGGAAGATCGATAGGAGGAACGGAGACGTACAGATTTTATCGACAGATCGTCGACGAAATTGAAACTCATAGAGGGCGAGAAAGCACGATTAAGTGGTATTCGTCGAGGAAATGGAACGACTTAGCGGGCGTATAACTTCGCTCCTTATATCACTCAATCGTAAAAGTTGGCTCTTTATAATCGCGGTCGAAAGAGCCGGATGTTCCTATTGCGGTCGACGAACAGAGAAAGAGAATTACGTGCGCTCGATGTCGTGATTTACGAAAGGAACTTCTGCCGGCTAGACGCGGCCAAGCGAATCGACTTACCGTTTTAATGGCCGTCTGCTCGAGATTTGCTTCGATCAATCAAACGCGGCCATGTAAAACTGACAATCTTTCCGGTCGCGAGTCCGGAAGGAAAGATACTGTAAATAGCTTTATCAAAGATTCGACGAGAGTTTACACAGACTGGGACATTAATACGATAAGCATTCGTTCTTTAGCGACAACAATTTCGAAACGAAGACTTTCAACTTCTGTTTCGATAGATAAGCGTCTTTTCTTGTTAGTCGTTCGAGCGATATCTCGAAGCGCGAATTATAGAATCCCAGAATTGGTCCATGTAACTTCTCTGCCGGCGTTCCTCCTCTTTCTGCGTACACTTCCGGCGAATGCGGTGTTGAAATGGAATCGAGGACTTCCCTATTCCACTCGAACGATCAACCAACTGCCCTCTCGCTTCACCCTTGACCAATCCTGAAACTTTCCCAAAGGACTTCTTGACTGGTGTGACTCGCGGTCACCCTCTTCCTTTTCCTCTTCCTCTTCCTCTTCCTTTTCCTCTTCTTTGGAAAATTCTTCTCAGTCCCGCTCCTGTGACCTATCTATTTGAAATTTCCACGTCAGATACATCGTTTGATCTCGTACTGATCTTGTACCTGCATTAATTTTGCAATATAGCGCTCTCGTTTACTATTTTAACCCTTCGAGGCAATTTTTGCAACGTGATAAACTTGAATGTTTTTAAATTTGAAACATTACAAGGTGCATAGGGCTTGAGATGTATTTATCACTGTTAAGATTTGAGAGGAACATTAATACAGATTAGATTAATTTCTTTGCGCAGCCCTCTCCGACCAGCCAATGTTTGCCGAGCCAATACCAAATGTCACGGTGCCACTGGGGAGAGACGTCAACCTACCCTGCGTCGTGGAGAACCTCGGTAATTACAAGGTAATTAAATCACCACGTATCTATCCGTATGCATCGCGCTCTTACGAAACCTCTGAAAAACCAAGAGAGAATTCGTAACAATATTAACGAACCTACTAAAAACAGCGAATGTAGGTCTGCTCCTGAAAAATTAATATTCAAAATATTCGCGACTGACCCACATCGCGAGCATGCAACATCATCGCGTATCGATTTCCTTCGCGGAACAGATATCGCGTTTTAATCATTCGTTACGATTTGCAAGTACCTGTAAAACCACTTTATCATTTATCCTGGCGAACGCAAAAAACGCGTAAAACGAAACGCGTGTTCGACATTACTTTACCATTTGTGTGTCGCGAGCGTGCGTAGATGGCGGAAGGAAAGAGAGCGAAGAACGAAACAGGAAGCAGGAAACCGTGCGTTCCTCTCGTTCCTCGATCTTCCTTCAATTACCTTGGTCGCATCAAACGGTTGTTATTAGCATCGCAATTCCGACGAATACTTCCTAGCTGGCGTGCCGGTAATTTCCGTCCGTTCTTTTTCAACGTGGTCCGCAATCTGCGCGGCCCGCCAGAAGAAAAAAGAGACGAAGGAGAATCTTGGACGTTATCTCGGTCCGACCCCTTGCCTAGTCTTTCTCTACCGGTGTATCGTGAACCACTGTTATGCAACCGCTATTGGAAACGCATCAGTTGTCCCGTGAACAAGCTGGGATGCTACGCTCGGGGCTGCGACCTGCCGGCAGATCGACGTTACACGCGAGCAAACGTATCGAAACGAACGACGAGGTACTTGAAGCGAAACGAGTACACGAAGATGAAAAACCGAGGGGCTTGGGGGTGTATCGCGTTTCAAGATCCTTGCTGAAAATTATGGATCGTTATTGCCGGTGTACTTGTTCGCTAATATTCGCATTTGGCTCGAAGTTTGACACGGCGTTCGAGATTTTTATGCCTCCATCGCGTTAATATGTTTTATAACCAGAGGGAAATGTGTTGCCTCATAAATACGAGCGGGATATCGATTCCGGCGGCGATAAAAAATCATATAGCGATTTTATCTGCCTTCGTTAAATTATTTGACAAAATTAATTTTTATATCGTTGATTTAAACGCGTGTTGAAGTTTCACCTGTATCTTCATAGATGCAAATGAAACGCGGTGGTGCGACAATGAAACGTGAGGAAGGTTGGTAAATATTTGCAGGGCGAGGCAGGTATAAAGGGATTCGCGGAATTTTTATTTGCATTTAATTAAATTGGACAACGTACGGTGTTCATCACGACCTGCACTAGATTAACGTTTCACTGCGTTTCGGATAAATCAAAGGCTGACTGATCGTAAATCAATCGCAGCTAATTTACTATTATTATCTTGTAGCTATAATAAATTTCAGCCGTCGAGCTGTTTTTTCTATCGATCCACTTCTCCGTCTTCTCATTTATATTCAATCGATGGTTAATAATTTGTTTATTCCAAACTTAGATACTTCACATCTCAATAAAAGATCTTCGAACTGTCACACAAAATACTGTTTATTCTTGGATTAACATTAAATTATTATCCATCACTTTCTATTAAAACTCTTCCCCGTTAATTCTTGTCATTTTGACACTCGATCGGAATCCTTTCATTTCTTATTTGTCAATCACGTTAAATTTAGGATCCTCGTCGCAATTTCTATGACAGTATAATTCTTGTAAAAGCACGACTTCATGAATTTTTTAAATTAGCGTCGTTTCATTGGCAATGGCGCGTCGTAAAGAGTACGTTGCACATCCCGAGATAAGAAATTCCAAAGTAAAGCCACGTTGTGTAACACGCTCGTAACCGATGGTAGCCCGATAAAAAGGGAGAATCGCAAGAAAATCGCTTAGTAGGCTGCGTCCAGCTAGAAGCCGTGGTTACGGGGGTCCCGTTATCGCGAAGAATTTCGCGCAATTACGTGGCTAACCGTGTGATCGAGCTGTGTGCAAGGTAAATGGAAACGGCACGTGTTCCAGACTGGTTCAAACTTCCGCCGCGTTTACCTCTGCATGTCCTCCACGCACGTGCACGTGACTGCACGCGGGACCAGAAGACGCTCCAGCACGCTCGAAGGCGCTTATTAGTCGGAGCCAATTACTCCGAGAACACCGCGAGTTCCTGGACGACAACGTGAACCCGGAAACTTCCCTCTTCCTCTGTCCCATCTCGCGTGAATTTCACAGAGATTAGAAACCTTTGACGCGAGCCGAGGATGCTCCCGAAGGAAACGAATTTCATTTTCGAATGATTCACGATCGACGATAATGGATTCTTGATAAGAGGTTACAGAACTTTTCTGGCTTTCCTTATGAAAGCAGCAATTATTTCACTGTAATAGTAAACTTATGACGAGTTCCAAACCCAGAAACCTTAGATCTCGAAAAATTGTCAATGTTCTAAAACTACCAGGGTTCATAAATGTAGAATAATATTTAATAATTAGAAAGGTTAATGAAATTTATTAACAAAGTATGACTAGTTATAATTAATTAAATGCAACATAAATGGAACTTCACGAATTAACAAATTTCTCACGTCTCACAATCTCTCACGAAGCAATCCCCTCTTTGCTCTGAAAACATTCGATCACACCAGAAAGACAATCTTACAATCTTCTAGCAACCTTCATTACATGCAAACTTCAATCATACCATACGCAAGCTTCATTTATATTATGCATCCATATTATGCACACACATACCACACACCACATAAATTTTAATATTTTCAAGTTGTAAAAATTCCAAATCTAAATATCAAAATCCAGAAATAGCAAAGACCCAAAGTTCGATAATTCTGAAGGAGCAACATACTGAACCGAGTCACAAGATATCGCAGCCTAGGGACCGTGGGAATACGGGGGAAAAATTGTTGATGGTCAAATTAAGTTTGACGCCCCATGGTAATCACGGTAACGTTAAAATTCATTACAACGCGGAACGAATTCAGCGGAAAGTCGGGAGGGGTTGGTGTTGCGAGGTCGCAGAAGAATTTTAATAATTCGGTTGATCCAGTTTCATGGAAGACGAGGTAAGCATTACAATGCCGCGACAATAAACTGTAAACCCGTCCACGTTTACAACTTCGTCCATTATTCCAGGGAATCATAAAGATGTTTGTGCGCGGCTACGCCGTGGGAATAAAACTCGGGGCTTTTCTTTATCGAACACGATACACTCGGGGCGTATCGTTGGGCTTTCTCTAAGAAACCGATATGCCGCGAAAGTTTGTGTACCAGATGTTTTAATAAATCGCTACGATTTCGTTTTAACGACTCCAGATGTCATAACACTGAAATTTTTCGTGGAAACAAAAGGTTTTAGTAAAAGTTTGAACAAAGATAAAAAGGTGTCAGCAATTTGAATCGTCTCGTAGAGCAATTGCTTAAAATATAAAAGGTAATCTTAAAGGCTTCATGGGACCGGAGATTTCGCTCTCTGTTTTGCTGATCGAGCATTGATCAGATTTCATACGTAAATTCTCACTAATCATCGATACGTTGCTGTTACATCGCATCCCTTTAATCTCCTCGACTAAATATCAGTGGAGAAAATCGCATTAAATCACGATTTTACCTCGTTCGAAGTACCGCGAGCAACGTATTTAACGACCATCGAGCCGTCCATCTGCGTTCACTTCAAACTCCCATTACTCTCGTTTCATCGATACTCCCCGATCAAAGGTAAAAAGAAAACTTATTTCCCCATGGTTTCATCAAATTTTTTACTCGTGTCGCTCGACATGGAACGACGCTAACATGTTCACAAAACACTACTGGAACATCGTTTTCGAACATGTTCCCATCCAAACACTCCATGTTTTCCCCGAATCAAACTCGTAACAATATTATTAACCCTTTGCGCTCCAGAGGAGACTCTCAGTCACCATTTTATTTAATACAATTATTTGAAGTGAGCATTTTTTAACTGATTCTATAATATGACACGTGTGATATATTAGGGGTACCGGAAAGTAATCAAAATTTCTTCGATGACTTCAAAGTTTTTCAATGAAAAATTGAAGGACTTTTTTAAAAAGGGAATCGAACAATTGCCTTTACGCTAACAAAAAGCGTTAGAAAATAATGGAAATTATTTTGTTGATTAGAATTTAAGATTTCTTTAATAAATAAATGTTTTTCGAAAGCAAACGAAATTTTGATTACTTTCCGGTATCCCTAATACAAACATAGTGAAACAAACAACAGTGGAAATTATTAGTAGAGAAATAATAAAACCTCGAAAGAATTCATTCAACTTTTTAACTAAATTTTAAAGTTGCTGTTTGTAGACAAATTACCTTCGAGTGCAAAGGGTTAACACTTTAATGTTACATGACTGTTTCAAATTTCTGCTTTTAATTATTCTTCGTGTATAGAATACGTTTTGAATCGATATGCGTATCGGTTTGCTACGCGTTGCATTCACCACGCGTTAAATCGCCACGAGTTGTATTCACCGCGCGTTAGATCGCCGCAACATTCCCCACACGCTGCATTCGCTACGCGTTGCACTCACACGTCATATTCACCGCAAGTTACATTCATCACGCGTTAACGAATCACCATGCCGCGCATCGCTGTTATTTTATCACGCGTTGCATCGCCAATAGCAACAATTTTTCACTTGAGCGTAAAACTCTAGTTCTGGTTGAATTTCTGTGCTGGAATTGGCCCTCGATCAAAGCCATTGTTTAGGATACAAAGGATCTTATCTGCTTACGAAGCGAAAGAATCCGTAGATGTGTAGCAATTTTCCAGGATTTAATTATACCGGGAAGCCGGAAAAGTCACTCGATGAAACTCTTTCGGTTGACCAAGTTGAATGAGTTCTGACGGTTCGTTTGTAAAATAGGGGTTGGCGCCCGAGGGAGGTTGGGTTGTACGGTAGTTTGGTAAATTGGAAAAATTACGCACGATATGTATGGATTCGGAGGTCAGATTGCGAGGAGAACCATGGAAACGGCAATCTCGTTGGACTGGACGGTCTGAAATTACAACGTCCTGCAACCGGAATACGATGCGGAGAACGATATCCCGTTTGCGATTCTGCATTAACCACTGATCTCTCTGCTTCAAAACAATAATTCGTTCTTCTAAATTGCAACCACATCTGCATATTCTATCTCCCACACGATAATATTAATACGGAAGCTAGTTTTAAACGACCGCTTGTCAAAATATCGAGATTATCAAGGCAGGACTTTCAAACACTAACTCAGTGTTAACCTTGCTATGATTTATTTGTAGGAAGAGAACTAATCACAGCCGCGAGGTTAAAACAAAGAAATTGTTGTGTCAATTTGAGATTGATTAACTATGCAAATAATTGAACTTGAACTCTAAACGAAGTCGACACGTTTTCCACCTTGGAGACAAAACGGCAAAATATATGAGCAGGAAATGACTTTAAGCGTTCATCATTGGCGTGGTGACGCGCGACGTAAAAGCGGCTCTGGCATCAGGCAGCCACTTCCGGGAGCAAAAGTTGTGGAGGCACGCTCGAGTGCTCTCGGTAATTAGCTAATTAGGAAACGAATTTAATAATTAATTTGCTAACCTGATTACACGGAGTGCGTCAAGCGTTGGCGCCAGCTCCGCTACGGACGCTGTGCGAAAGCCTGGAATTATTTTTAATTACCGCGCCGATAAATCGTCGAGTTAGTCCGTGCTCGAGATCCGCTTGATTGCGGCCCATTTTTATTCGGAATTTATTCTTACCGTTAAAAAATATTAAATAAAAGTCCGCGCGATAATGTCGCTTGATTAATATGAAACTTCACAATTGTTGACGTACCACTGTATTTTTAACCCATCAACGACAAATGTTCCGTTAATGCATTTCGTTTCGAATTCTTTATAATCGAGTCATAACGTTAACGAGGTTATTTTTTAACAACGCGGTTATAAATCGGATTCATAACCATTTTTTGAAGAGCTATTATACGAAAATCAAATTATTACAACGCACAGTTTTCATAGAAGTTTTGAACGTTCGCAGCGACGAGAAGGGCAAAAGAATAATTTCGTTTCGCGAAGGAGAAAGTCCGTTTGCAAAATGAACCAGCTGTCAGCGGTCGTTTCGGTCATAAAAATGGCGCCGCCGTATAAGCTAAACACCGTGGAGAAATATAAAACCGACCTTGTGGGAAATCAAGCTCAGCCTAATGACTGCTACAGCAAACGTCGGAGATATTTTTGCAAAGTTGATTAAAACTGGTAGCCCTCTCGCTCGACTCTAAATGCCGTGGCGTCATTTCAATTGCGCGAGTCCAACGTTTTTACCATCGCCCCTCTCCGTATTTTCTCTTATTACGGCTATCAGTTATTCCGTTACACGTTATGTCATCTTGTAACATCGCTCAGTGCATAGAGAAAGAATTATATAGTACGTGTGTCCGCGTGCAAGAGAAAAAACAAACTCGAACCGGACGCAATTAAAACGGGGCAAGTGTTCTTAAAATTAAACACACCGCACTCTTTGCCAGTCTAATTGCGTTAATTGCGTTCAGACTGGAAAAGTCGAAACGCGGACGAAGACAACTTTCGAGCTGGCACGGTGGTTAAGTAGCGAGAAAGTAGATGAAGATCAGTGAACAACACTCGACTCGATTTCGAAAGCGTTCCACCGAATACACGAAATTACTTCGTGTTTCGTTTTACCCTCGTTTTCACTTTACGCTTTGTTTGCTTCTTTTTTTTAACCCTTTAAGCCTGCCGTATTTCAAACGGGGATCGTCCGCGAAGGATTTAGCTCGATGTTCCAAATTAACTTCTCGAGAGTTCGTTTAATCTTTTAACATATTTAAAACCGTGTTTGTGTCGCGTTTAACGAGGATCATGAATCGTACGCGTTTTGTTATTCGTTTCCCGGGCGAAAAATTAACAATTTATCTATCGCTCGCGCGAAATTAATTAACGGTGACTAAAAATTGATAGGGTATTTCACGCTTTATTATATGGAGCGAATTTCGAATAAATGTTTAACGACCGAAGGTTTATTAATTGGTTATCATAATCGGTGGTATCAAATGTTCATTAAGGTTATTAATAACAAAATTATCGCGGATCAAGTTCATTTGCGCACGCTGTTCTTTCTCGCGGAACCTATTTCGGAACACCCTTTGTACATAGATGTACATCGTTTGCAACGAATGGTTAATCTCGTCTCCGCTTATCAGTTTCGTACGCGTCATTTGAAAATAACAAAAAAAGGACTCGATTCAGTTGACAGTCCCTGACACGCGCGCACATGAGATTTCAGAAAAACATAGAGGCGTTAGAACCCTGTGATAACGTGTCGATCTAGATTACGCTGTACCATGACTGTCGATAGATAGTAACGCGTGATTTCTATTAAAGAAGAAAGCTTTTAACGACGAAATACATCTACACAAAATAATTCACGGATGCATTAAACGGCAATTTTAAAAACCTGCGCGATCGCAACAATCTCGAACATTAAAACGCTTAAAGTTACAAAGCACCGTCCGATTAAAAATTTGTTTAAACCGAAGTTACAGCGTCGAAAATATCACCGTCGATCGCGACGAAAAGCTCGCCATTAAAATTACGCTTTTTCCCCTGGTAGCACGAAAATACGTTAAGGCCGCTAAGGCTGACTTTGAACCAGTGCCAGGGATTTCAATCGAGGCAGTAAACGGCACAAGCTTTTCCTCGAGACCGTTTAGAGGCCAATATAGCCACTGTAGCTCAATCTTTTTTTTCCCCTGATCGAACAGGATTTACTTTTTACGATCAATCGCGTACACAGTGGTCCAAGTTGATGCAAAGCCAACATTGACGATTATACTCTTTTTTACTGGAACCAGTGTTTACTGGAACAAGGTTAATGCGAGGAACGGTGGAAATTTCAGCTGGAAGTTTCGCAAGGACACACAGGAGGATGCTACATCCAAAATCAAGGATTAACCGAGTTCAAGTACCCTTTAATCTGCCTTGCTTCCTCCGAGACTGCCAGCCAACTGCTTCGTCCTCGCTCCTTTGATCCTTCGCACAAATTCAATCAACTTCTTGGTTCAATGTTCCCGTAACAATCCATGATCCGCAACAATTTCTGCGAGTTAACATGTTCGTTAGCAATCTTTAGTCCACTGCATATTCAACGTCCACCGAAAACACCCTCTCTCTGTAAACAAGCGTTCGAACCGGTTGATATTCTCAAATTGCATTCGAACGATTAAATAGGACTTAACGAGCGAATAGCTTCCGATAATTTGTCTGTTGATGGATGCAGCGACGCTGTTGCTTAATTTGCTCGGCACAGGAGACGATTGTGACCGTGCTTTTTGCCCACCGCTGTTACGTAATTATGCGAGCAAGCGTTCTCCAGGCTAAATAAAAGAGAGTCGACGAGTGGACCGGCGTGTAATCCAAGCAACTTGGCCAATGTCTTCCGAGCCGTTTCCGCAGGGCTGCGAAGAGAGAGAAGAAGAACAGTTACGGTCCCGGTGTTTGAGTATTCAGACACTAGCTAGCGACGATAACGAGCTGAAAAGAAAGCGGAAAGGAAAACAAACTGGGGTAACTGGCTGCTTAAAATGTAGAAATAAAATTGGAACGTCTCGTAATCCGAGGGACTAATTGGCTCGAAACGTATATAAATTGCAGAACAGTTTGTAAACTTTCCCCCTTTTAATTCGGTATGTTCCTATACACCGACTAAGTCTCGTCTGTTAAATCAGCGACAGTTAACGAAATCTTCCTATAGAAGATAATATTACTCGTTGTCCAACCGTAACGGTGTTAGGATAGGTTAAAGTTCTTGAAATCTACGCGTTCTTTAAGCAACCCCTGTATAACGAGACAAATGCTATTCCGTGCAAATAGACCGAGAGCTCGTAAAGCGGTCGTGGCAAGTTCCAAACAGAGTGGGCACAAATAAAACAGCTCGTGGAGCTCGATGAACTCGGGAGAAGGATCGGTCAAACGTCTGAAGAAGAGGCTGAGGGGTCGGTCGAGCATAATTCACGGCCGACAAGCAGACGAAGAGTTGTTACTGCGTTACTGTTCCGCGAGATACACCGAGAGGATAGAAGGGAACGGATGGAAGGTAAAAATGAGGAAAAGTGGCGCTTTCGGGCAACCGAGCGTTTCTCGAGCGTTGCCAAGGAAATGAAAAAGAAGAAGTGCCTAACTGGAGGAGCAGAAGGGTGAGCGTTGCGGGTGAAAGGCGGGTGCTAGCCAGTTTAACCCAGAAATTCTCGAAAGTGCATAAGCTTTGTCGTGGAATGAGCTTAGTTAGGGGGACGTTAGACCAGCAGAGCGTAAAATACGCTCGTAATAATGTTTGTTCATAGCATTTCTGATGCAGCACCGTTGCGCCGCGTAGCCCCTTCAGCGTCGTGTTCTTTCTCCCCTTCAGGAATGCGTTTCTCGTTTTCGCCTATTGTGCTCCGCCACTTGTGGAGCCTCCGATGGTTCGTAGTCCATCGATCAGACGAGTAATTCGAAGATTCTCGTTTTATCGTACGGTTCATCGTCGATCAACAAATTCTTGTAGACGTAACAAACTATCGCGGAAATAATACACAGTTGCGTTGAACAGAAAGACGAAAATGACTGCTCGAATTAAAAACGTGACGATTTACAGGTGGCGTGGATCCACGTGGGTCGTCAGATGATACTCACCGTTCACAGGCACGTGGTAGTAAAGATACCAAGGTTTTCCGTGTCCCACGACAATCAGAAAACCTGGTTGCTTCACATAAACAACGTGCAACAAGACGACCGGGGTTACTACATGTGCCAAGTGAACACGGTCCCCATGATGAGCCAAGTCGGCTTTCTTCAAGTAGTCGGTAAGCATATTTAATCTGCTTTCAACGGCTTACGTTCAACCGTTATTAAATTTTACACGTTGCAATCGCGTAAGCACCTTAACGAAAATCCATCGTGAACCGATCAATCATTATTGAGTCTAGTTTTTTTTCCGCGCTCTATGTAACGCGAAAATGTACTTAAAGACGCGGAGTACGTTTGATGAATGATACGAGGCTGAAGAAACTGAAAATAATTGCGCTCCGGGAGAAAGAAGGTATAATAGCCGAGAAAGCGATAATGAAATCTGTATTGTACTGTAATAAATGACTTTTGATTGCTCCAGTGACAATTCCGCGATTGCGTTCGTTCGCAAGTTTCTAGAATTTTAATCAATGTATTTAATCAACTTCGTACTTTCTATGTCTAGTGCCGCCGAACATATTGGACTCGCTGTCTACGGAGAGCACGGTGGCTGTTCGAGAGAATCAGAACATCACGTTGACGTGCAAAGCGAACGGATATCCGACGCCGAAATTAATGTGGAAGAGAGAAGACGGGGAGATCATAACCATCAACCGGCATTTCAAAAGTAAGTGTTATATCGAAAATAACGCGAATTGTTTTCGTTTAAAAGATCTTTCCCAAAGTCGTAAATTCGAAGTTGTAAGAAATCGCCATTCAGATTTTTCATGATTTCAAAGTTAGTCATCGCTCTGGACAGAAATATGCCAACGAGTAACAATGAACGTACGAGTTCCCGATTACGTGTCCCGCATAAACGAAGAACAACATTTCTGACGTTCGTATTAATCGGAAAGTCCGAAACGAACGAATTGGTTCTGCTAATAAACGTTAAAATACGATTTCCGGTGATTAAACCTCATGGGGAAAATGTCGACGGTTCAGGTTAAAATAACAACAAACAGTTGGTTGTTTTCTACACACACACATATTCGAGTACGTGGGTGTATAGTTCCGTAATCAATTCGAACGAAAGAGAAATCGCGCGAAGAGAAAATAACGCAAGCGGACAGAACGTCGGAACGAGCGTTCCGTTAGCTTTTGTTTTCTGCGTTCGTCATCGATTTTACGCGTCAAACAATAAAGCTCACGGCTGCGTTTCCGGTAATTTCCCTAATGCAATGGGACACGTAAATCCATTCTCGTCAACGTATTATTAGTAATGCAGTAATTACTCGTTTGCATGGCCGCCACTCCCGAACGTTTACGTGACTATCGAATAAAACAAAGGTTTCCACGGATGTTTCTGTCGCGAAACTTCGCTTCAATACCATTGTTTAGCGAAAGAACGTTCCGGGATGTCATGCTCGCAACCTCGACTCGACACCATCAGAGAGGGAACTGCAGTTCGACGTTTGTGCACAGATACAAAATTCGCGTTACAGGAACTTTTGGATATCGTTAAAATTACACCGTGTTACGTTTTTACCGCGTCGTTCGACAACGACATTTTAGGATTCACTTTATTCCATCGTTTTGCTCAGATAGACGCATCGTGTACAAACGATACGGAGAATCCGATGAATATCAAACAGGTAATCCTGTTACCTGGAAAAGGCGTTTAACAACGGACGTTTCATAGATGGACGCGCGATACGTAACACTGTATGAAAAATCGGCGCCGGGAAAGAAACAAAGAAGGGAAATGTTCTGAGAACGATGTCGAGTAACTGCAAATTAATTCGCCGATCTGTTTTCGCGATACAGGACAACATAATTCCTGATATATCTGTCGTTAGCGGTCGAGCAACGTTCTCGCGATCTCGCATGCCGAGTGTTCATTTTTAAAAAGTAGCATGCACACGGTACACCAGATTCGAACGTCATTCGCGTACACTTTTTTTTTTATCTAGATTTTATTATTCGGTCGAAACTTTGTTCGTTTTATTTGCGTTTACTTCGTTCCAATATTGTACGCTCGTCGTTTGCACGAAGATCATATGACGCGAGTAGAACAAAAAAAAAGGACAACAAAGGGATAGAAATCGAAATATAAAGTTAATAAAATATTAGTAATAAACTACGAGTAATATTTTTTCGTGCTGGATGCAGTCGTGTGTTAACCGAGCAAATAAAGGACCGCGTTCGCGATTTTCAATATCTGGTTATCGTTTAGTCACGAGGAAACAGGTAACGGATATTATAACTGCATATTTACTCTTACATTTTTAAACCCGGTCCTTTTAAAATATGAAAACTTTCCCGGAGTGTAATTCTTCGATTAAATAATAGATGGACACCGTTGATAGGATTAAAAGGGAATAAAGCTTGATAACAGGAGAATTTTCCGGATGAAAAACAACGCACCGCTCGGAACTTTCAACGAATTTTTTAACCTCCTCGGATATATTTATACATACGCAAACATTTCGTTCGTTTTTAAATTCATCGACCAAAGACAACATGTGCGCATATTATAAATTCTTTTGGGATTTATTTATATTAAAATAAACATTACAGATTTTAAACGAGAAAAATATGAAATGCTAACCTTAAAAAAATTTGTTAAAAATTATTCCTCGAAAATTTCTCTAAACTACAAACAATACATTTATCTTAACTTAGCCTCCAATAACGAAATTTTTCATATGTTTACTTAACACAAACTGCGATATATCGCGCGTGTCTCTCCTCTCTCTCGTAGTAATATTATTAATAATGCAGTTGCGTGTTTGGACGTGGCCGTCGCAGCATTTTCTCGGATATGTTCGTGCAAATAACGAACAAACGAGGGGCGTGTTGAGATATTTTTATAACCGCCGTTCACCCTTTTGTACTTGATAACGGATCTCAGAAATCTGAATTATAGCCACCTGCACACGGATTGTCATCGTTCGTTAAATAAAAATTGCTGCGACTATCTTTCGCGCCAGCTAATGCGTCCGCACGATATTCGTTACTATAACCATTAGGTTGTATTAACCTAAAGTTTGCGATGAAAATTTGAGGCAACCGCAACGCGTTGAAAAGGAAAAAGATATTCCAGCGCAAACAAGGAATAAGCCGGAGGACCAACGGGAGAAGGAAACAATAGAAGTAACGTCCCAGCGGTGGAGTTTTTGCTTCAGTTGGATACTTCTTAAATATTGCAGAGATTAATCAACTCGCGACCGTCCGCGGGCGTAATGCTACGCCACTTTTGCAACGTGGCCGTCTGTCAGTGGTGAGAGGAGGCACGGTGGGGGTAATAAAGGGGCGGGACGAGACAGACAGACAGTGGTGGCGGCGTGAAAATTATGCGCACACATTTATAAAACATTCACAACTCGCTAAAGATGAGGGACAGTCGCTTCAGTCTGGATATTTTAGGATCAAATTAAACGAAACTCTTTAGCTACGATTCGCGTAAAAAATACACCGAGTCCACTTTTACCGACTTTGTATTGTCCCGATTGATTTGGAGTAGTAAAAACTTTTGAATTATTAATCTTTCTCTAATGGAATCTATTTTGAACAAGCTTTCGAGAAACGATCGCTCGTGGAAGGAAATCGTTATTTTTGGAAAACGAGAACGGTGTTAGACCTCGGTCAAGAATAATAATCAAGAAGACGTGTACGACTCTGCAACTTCGGTCCAAAATTTCGACTGCATGATAGTCTTTATAAATAGTTATTCGCGAAGAACGATCGATTTCACAGCATCTTCTCAGTTACACCACGAACGGACTTCCTTGTTGTACATTTACAAGTTGCTCCAAGTGTGTAACACTATCCACCTAAAACTTTAACCTGACTCGCCCCAGTTTCTCTAGGATAATTTCACGACCAGGTTGGCCGACTTCCGAAAGTCCTGGAGGACCATGTGTCATCATAAAACTAGATGGATTAAAACCAGTCAGTGCTGTAGGAGCCTCCTGGTCCTACGGGAAGAACCCTGTGCGTCCTGCTGCCTGGACGTCGGAGTATCCGAGTGTCAGGATGTCCCAGGTGGCACAGACATTAGCTCACGAACCAACCACCGTGTTAGACTGACGGAGATGCTGTGGTTTGGCTCTTCCGTTTCAACGAAACCTGCACATTTCTAAAAGCCTGATGACATTTTACGTGCCAAGCTGTCTTCGTCACGTGCTTCCTACTGGACTAGGCAAAATCCATAATCGTTGCTTTGGGTCCCTTCTGCGAGAATTGCTAGGTCATTCAGTTTTGGAAATTGTTTCGGGTTTCCGAAGGTTGAGCTGTTGATGTAGTGAAGAATGTTTTAACTTTGGGTATTTGATATTATACTTAGTAATTATGGGTCTTTAGAATTTTAAGAGACTGTGGAATTCCAGAATCGTGAGAGTGAAAGATACAGTGGAGTTTAAGACAGAAATTCTGTATATGAATTTTTTCCTCTTCGAAGACGATATTTCGAAAGAGCTTCCCGTTGAAAAGATCCGTGAATGCTTATTTAAATACCGCGATTCAGTGCGGAGTCGTGATATATCCAGGAGTAAAAGAGCATTTTGGAACCGGTACGGTATAATTGGGCTCCTCCGAATTGTATTAATCTCATCGCGGTAAAAAGTAGAGAGTCCGCGAAGCGAATATGTTTCGTGGCCGTGGTTTTTCGCTTTGAGGTTCGTTCCAAGTGAATTCGTTGTCAGAGACGGGCCAAGTTTCGCTCGGCAAGGATTCCTTTTTAACGAAGCAAAATTAGAAAAGGGTTGCTCCTTTAACGGATAGGACAATTTGACGTAGAAGAGAAACGTCACTCGACTGTGTCTCAATTCGTCGTTTCGACTCGACGAGCTCTCGGAGGCTCGAAACTGAAAAAGCAGCCGGCAGAACGCGGCAGACGATTTTAAATTTCTTGCTTCGGCTTCTCTGGCTCCTCTTTTTTTCCCTCCCTCTTCTCTTTCACGTATTTATGAGTTTTCTCGGCGTAGCGCGGCTGTGTACCCTTTCGAAAGCGGACCGCTTTAATTAGCAGAAATTAGAGCGGCGGTGGAGAAGAATCCGCGAAAGAAGATGAAGAAGAGAGAAACGCTTTTCTTATTCTGCTCCCGAAGCTTCGCTCGAGCGGTTCATCCTAGCGAGAAGGATGAACTTTTGTGCCGCTTTCCGCTCGGCGAGTGGTGTTAATCACTAACTACAAAAACGTTGACACGGCGCTGCAAAACGCGTTGTTGATTTTGACGGCGGAGAAAATTGAGAATCCTGTAGCAAAGAGCTTGCTACTGCAGTTTTGACAGCTTCTTAATTACGTTGCGTGATACGTGTAAACGGATTCGATATCGTTCGGTGCATAATTGACGAGCAGTTTCATAAGTGTTTAAACGGAACAACACTTTTCTAGACATTCTTTCTAATTTATGCAGAGTCGGTAAAAACGAAGCTGCGGCTCTTCGACTGCAGGGCACTCGACCGAAACTTTGTTTCACTGGGAAAATTCCTGAAAAGCTCTCGACTATTAACAAAATCGAATTCGCTGAAAGTTCGAAGATAGTTTCCATTATTTTTTAGTTGCTTTCCATAACGAGCGTTCGGCTCGTCCGAGATTTCCTGCAGCTGCGGCTAATGTAACACTCGAATCAGCGATTTGGTTGTTCGAAATTTAATATCGTGGCTGACACCGTTTCCTGTCGC